GAAAATTTTATACCTATGATGAAATTATTTAATCGAAAGCTTTATCATAAAAAGAAAAAGTAAATGTTAATTTAGTTAGTTAAATTTCAATATAAATATCTAATATTAAATAAAAAAATTAAATAACAATTTTATTAATTAACAATACTTTATTTTCAATTAAAAAAATTATAATTACCTACAAAAGATATATAGATGTATAAAAATTGAAAATTTAAAGGTTTTTATTCATAGAATGCACAGAATAAAAAAAATATATAAAAACGATAGAACTTAATAAGATAACTTTTTATTTTCTTCTTTCTAAGTATATAGAACGACATTATTAAAACTTTATTTTTTGAATTACATTAAGGTATATCAAAAGATTTCATAATTATGATATTAAAATTAAATATGATAAAAAAAGTCATAAATTATAATTTTTACATATAATATAATGAAAAGATACATCAATTTTCAAAGTTTTTATCTTTCTGAAAAAAGAAAAACTGTAACTAATTAAAAGGAATGAAGGGTACTTAAAAATTATAAACATCCACAATTAAAAGATAATAATATTTACAATGATTTGAACAGTTGAAAAGAAAGTATTTTTTTCTTTAAAAATAATTATTATTTAGAGTAGGAAAAGTCTAGATGGTCCTCATTGGCTCCTCAATTTTTTTAAATAAAATTATTATTATTATTATTATTTTTATTTTATTATTATTATTATTATTATTATTATTATATTATTATTATTATTATTATTATTATTCAAACTATCAAATTAATTCTACTCATACCCCTAATAAAAAATATTAATAAAATCCAAATTTATGAGTATGGTTTTTTTATTTTATTTACTTATAAATACACACTCAACCAAAAAAAAAATTAGAACTAAAACCCAATGCATATCAACTTCTCCCTTTGAGTTCATTTGTTATCACAATCCATTTAACCTTTTTTTTTGTTCAAACAAAATTATTATCAATGGCAAATTTGATTTCAAAATCAACAAAATTTAACCATTTTCTTCAAAACACAAGAGTTTGTTTCTTACGATCGTTTACAACTTCTGCCGCCGGCGCCGGTGCTGGTGGTTATATTCAGCCGGCGGGGAGTTTTTCCGGCGAGTCTGCCGCCATTTTTCGGCCGGAACGTTACCAGTCCGGTAAAGCTGGAGAGCAACTAGATACAATTGACTATGAAGAAGATGAAAATCAGGTAAAAAATTTTAATATTTACTTCTGATAACTTTTTTTATCGACAGAGTTAAAAATTTATATCGAAGAAAAAAATTATTATTTAAATATCATATTTGAAATTTAAACATGTGATCGATTGAAATAACTTTTGAATTCTCAATTCATGAAAAAATTTATTTTTTTTAAATAATTGTGGTATTTAGTTAAATTTATGTGTACTTTAATTTGTTTTTAGTATGTAAGTATCGAATAATTATATATATATCCAATAAAATTGATAGATGATAAGTAGTAGTTTAGTTTTGACTATAGAATGGAATCCGAGATCTCAGGACTTTTAATGATTCTAAATTAAAAGTTTATTTTAATTGTAAAATAAAATAAAATAAAATAAAATAAAACAAAACAAAATAAAATAATAATAATAATAATAATTCAAGAAACTTTGGTTTTAGACGATTTGGACAAAAGTTCACCATGACGTGTTTCATTTTGAGGTGATTGAAGATAAGTTTGGCATTTATCCAAGATAACAAAATAATTACATTTGCCAAGTGTAAGCGTCGCACTAAGTTAAGTGTTATTTGGTACGAGCGATAAAAATAAATAAAATAAAATAAAAAAATAGTGATAGAATAAATTTTTTTGTCGTATTTAGATAATTTATTGTATTATTTATATTATAGTGATAAGTTATCTTTTATATACCATGAGATAAGTTATCTCAAAATAGCTAACCTGAATTAATTTTGAGATATTTATTCTCAATCAAACGAAAATAACTAATTAGTACTACTACAAATTGGAGATCGTTTATCAGTGAAATAAGAATTGTAATTTTGAGATATCAAATACAATAGAATTATTTTACCTTATCATTTAATTATAAATAGTGAATTGAGTTAATGCAAAATAAAATAATTTTTATAAGCTATTTTAATTTTTAAAATATTTTGATATATCTTATCCCACCAATTAAAAAGCACTCCATTATAATTCAACTCTTTTTGCTATTGAATACCTTCATGACGTGTAACGTTTAAGAGGTAAGTTTTTAATTTTTTATATTATAAGATACAACGTGAGTCATTAGTATTATTTCTTAAATTCTGATTAAGAATAAATAATGTGTTCAATAATGATAAAATAATATAAATTAGGTGGAGTGGACCATTAGAGTGACAGGACAGAGATAGTCCTTTTTACATCAATTTTGACTGAAAAAACAATTGATTATTGCAAAAGATAAACACTTTTGGAGTGAATTATAAATGGATAGTCACCAAAAAAATAAAAATTAAAAAAAAACTTAAAATCAAATCTATGACTTCTGAGGAAATATTGGGTAAAAAGATACAGAGAGTCTGATTTAGGGTCATTTGGACATTGTGATAATAATTTTGAAATTATGATATGGAGTTTAAATTTTATTTGAATATATAATTTAAAAAAATTAAAATTGTATTTACTTTAACAAATATAAAAATATAATAATTTTTATCAGAGTATCATAATTATTTTATAATTAAGTGTTCAGAAGTATAAAATTTTAAATATGCATAATTTTATAAAGACTGATTAGTTAATAATAATTGTAATCAAGTATTTTTAATATACTTTTTTTCACATGGTATAAATAAATTCTTAGTGTTGAGTATGAGTTTTTCTTTTGCAAAATTTAGCGTACATGAGACTTTTTTTTTTATATAAATTATAAATTTATGAATCAAGTTTTTATTTAAAAAAAATTGAAATCATAATTTGAAGTTTTGGAGGATTGAAATTTTAGATTTATAGCCCCAAATTAATATTTAGATTCTAATTTAATTAACTTAACATCGCTTTATAACGCTTTATATTAACTTAAAATAAGAATTTGTTAATAGACTTTAATTCCCAAAAAAGTTTAATATTTTAGTTAGGTTAGACTTTTATGAATCGATTTTAATTGTCTTTATTTATATAATAAATTCAGTTGTCAGATTGGTAGGTAGGATGTTATTAAATCATTTGTATTTGTCTTTAATTCCGTAAATATTTTATCTTTTTTTTTTTCTAATTTGGGTAAGGAAAAGGGAAAAGGGAAAGAGGTTGCCAAATATGGAATCAAATATTTACCGCCAATTAATTGAGTTACTAAGTTTATTCTTTAGTTCGGTTGATAATATTGTATACTTTTCGTTTTTATGTATTTATTTAATTTTAACTTGGTATATAAAGAAATAACTTTAATGTTATAGTTTTCGACTAAAAATATGAGAACATATTTTTAGAAAATATTCTTTTATGGTCTTAAAAGTATGAATAAAATTACCAAAAAATGAGATAATTGTAAAAGAGAACAAGACAAAAATAAATAACTTGACTGATGACATTAATTACCATTAATGTTTGTATAAAATAAATGTATCGTATTCGAAATTTAAATATTAGTCTAGGAGACTTGTAAAGAAAATGGATGAAATTCTTTTGCTCATAGCTGGTCTAGATTTTTTTTACAGATAGATTTTATGTGTAATTTCTCAACTGTTTTTATATAACGTATAATAATTTTTATGAATCAATTAGAAATATATACTTAAGCTAAGATTAACTAAACTTTTGAATTGTTTAGATTTAAACAAATTAATTAATTTCGAAACTATTAATAGATTTTTTTTTTGTGTGTGGTGGTGGGGTGGGGTGGGGGGTTTAAATCAAATATACATATATTTATAGTAACGTTAACGAAGAGTATGTAATTGATTAGTGGTGGACATTCGATATTTCGGTTCAATTTTATTTTTTTTCCAATTTTTTCAATTCTTGTAAATTGTATACCGAATATCGAACCAAAATATTTCGATTCGATTTGTTTTTTTACTTCGATTTTTTATTAATTGTGTACCAAATATCTGACTGGGCTGGCCTCCGGACGCCGATCGCCAGTTGAAGACTTGAAGTCGCTGCGGGCGGCGGCTGTAGCTGGGCTACTGCTGGCGCCTGGCGGCGGCTGCTCTGCCTGAAAGAGGAAGAGGAAGAGTTGTTGCCTGCAAGAGGAAAAGGAGGCTGCAAGATGAATATTAAAAATTAAATTAGGAATAGGAACATTACATAGGGTTTCACATTTTTTTTAAAAAAAAATTATTTAATATTAATAATTATTAATTAATATAATATAAATTATAGTATAATATTTCAGTTTAAATTGAAATATCGAAAATCAAAATAATATGTATTAAAAATTGAATCGAAAAATCAAAAATTAAACCTAATACCGAATCAAAAATCAAAATATAAAATTGAAATTTTAAAAAAAATTCGATTCGATTTGATGTTTTGATTTCCGGTGTATATCCCCGCCCCTCTATAATTGATCACCCTTTTTCGAGGTCTCCGTCATGATTCATGTGTAGGCAGCCATGTGAAACATATTGATGTTACACTTGACAGTAGTGAACACTAGAAAATAATGTCTTCTTTTCTCGTACTCTTGTCACTATTCAACTTCTTTTATTGTTCCTTACAAATTCATGAATCCATAAATTTTTGAACTTATTTGGACATAAGTCAGTACTTTTAATTTTTATTTCAAAAATAGTATTGGACAATTTATCTTTTAATTTTCTAACATGGACAAGTACTAAGTATCTTGTTACTAAAAATTTAAAATTTCAAAAAGTGTTGTGTTTCCTTTTTTTTGGAAAAACTTGTACAATGATCCAAAAAAAGGTCATGAGAATTTTTCACTTCTTTTCGAAAAACTTACTTTATTCTATATATAGTTTCCTCTTCTAGTGTCTCAATTCCATGAACATTTCCTTCTAGTTCTTGATGAGTAGAGCATCAAGAAAACATAAAAATAAAAACTTAGGGAAAAAATTTGGAATTTTATTTCATAAAATATGTTAGGATTCCTCAAAATCCTCTTCTCCAATTGTAAACAAACTCATAGAATTGCTAGTAAAAAACCACTCAGCCAATTTCATTCATCCTCTATAACACTTCTTGATTTTTCATCAACAAGAATTTTATCATTGAAAGAACAATCGTCTCTGTTTGCTGAAAATGATGACTATACCGATGATTTTCAGGTTATAATAGTATTTGTCGTGAATTTCTTACCTTTATTTGGATGTTTAATTAAACGTGTTCATATATATATATGTGTGTGTCAGTAGAATAATATGATACTTTTCTATGTTATGTAATATTGGACTAAGATGAGCTTAAATGTAACGATACGTACAATGATGATTCATGTAATTGTTGGAATTGTCAGGTGATGGATTTTCCTGGTGGAAAAGTTCCAATTACTCCTCAAATGAAATTTATTTCGGAGTCGTCTGAGAAGAGATTACCTTGTTATAGAGTTCTTGATGATGATGGTTATCCACTTCCAGGGACAATCTTTGAGGAGGTAATTTGAAATTGTTTCAAATTTTCATTTCTTTTGAATTTGAAAAAAAATAAAATATGAATTGAAAGTTGATGCATTTATTTGGTTAGGTGAGCAAAGAATTGGCAATAAAGATGTATAGTTCAATGGTGACACTTCAAACTATGGATACCATTTTTTATGAAGCGCAAAGGCAGGGGAGGTTGTCGTTCTATCTCACAACTGCTGGAGAAGAAGCTATCAACGTAGCATCTGCTGCTGCTCTTTCCTTAGACGACTTCGTGTTACCTCAGGTACTTTTTGCTGTTGTTGTTGTTATTAAGAGATGAATTCAAGATCTAAAGTCAGTAGTTTCAAAATATCTGTGCGTTGTATGAGCTGAAAGTAATGAGTTTGGCACTTTTCTTATATCATGTTTAGGAGCATTGTTTTGGGTTGTCAGTAGGGTCGTTTGGTTGCTGGTTGGAAGGTGATTGATTCTGGTATTAAACCATAACTTGTATCATGTTTAGTAGCATTTGTTTTGTCGCTATTTATCAAATTCAACACACCATATATGTATTTTGGTTAGCAATTTAGGATTTGCATATATGAAATAACTAAATTTTGCATGACTAATTCATGTATTACTAATACCTGTAACGACCACTAAATAGTTGTTGGTTTGTCTTTGAGATGAGTAGAACACATTTGGCATTAGCAGCTGCATAATGCAGATTGAAACATTGAACGCAAAGTCTTTTTGTTTATGTTTGTTCTGCTCGATTTGACAATAGTTTCATGATTCTACAACCGGTAAATGATGTCATTCAATATGTTGTTGTACATTGCAGTACAGGGAAGTAGGGGTTATATTATGGCGTGGTTACCCCTTGGAACAGGTTGCCAATCAATTGTTCGGAAACAAGTTTGATTATGGAAAAGGAAGGCAAATGCCCTGCCACTATGGTTCTAATGAGCTCAACTACTTAACTGTTTCTTCGCCAATAGCGTAAGAATCTCAAAGTTTTTAGCATTTCCCCTCAAGATTCAGGATATTCCATCTAATCAATTTTCTGCTCCGAATTTCATTTTCCTCAGAACACAGATTCCTCAGGCCGTGGGCGTTGCTTATTCCCTCAAAATGGAAAAAAAGGAGGCTTGCGCGGTCACTTATTTTGGAGATGGTAGCACCAGTGAGGTAATTAAATTAAGCAAGCAAAAATAACGCGACTTTTAAGCATATTCTACATCAATTGACTGATTTCCTCGCGATGTAATTTGCAGGGAGATTTTCATGCAGCATTAAACTTTGCAGCAGTATTGGATGCTCCTGTTGTCTTTATATGCCGCAACAATGGATGGGCCATTAGCACTCCTATAAACCAACAATTTCGAAGTATTTTCTAAACTCATTTGACATACAATGCACCTTTTTACTAGTATTTTTCTCCTTATTACTTAATGTAGATTCTCTGATGTCTTGTTATGTCAGGTGACGGAATCGCCTCTAGAGGACAAGCGTATGGTGTTAGAAGCATTCGTGTAGATGGCAACGATGCCTTGGCAACTTATAGTGCTATTCGTGCAGCTCGCCAAATGGCAATTAAGGAACAAAGGCCAATATTAGTAGAGGTAAAAACTCATGTCAGAGTTCAAGTTTACAACACAATGTTGCAAAATCTGGATCTTGAAAATTGTTAAACATAAATCACTCTTAAAACTGCTAGACTTGACATTCTTTTAGGAAACTCATACTAAAGACTTCCAACTTTTGTGTTAGGCCATGACATATAGAGTAGCTCACCATTCAACATCTGATGATTCAACCAAGTATCGACCCGTTGAGGAAATCGAACACTGGAAGACAGCAAAAAGCCCTATATCAAAATTCAGAAAATACATTCAAAGAAATGGCTGGTGGAATGATGAAAATGAATCAGAACTTCGCGGAGACATCAGAAAACAGGTTCATAAACAACATTGATCTTCATCTGATATCTGCTAAAAGTTTATAATATTCATTTTTTTCTTCTTTCTGAATTAGGTGTTGCAAGCTATTCAAGCAGCAGAGAAGGTGGATAAACCTTCATTGAAAGATTTGTTTACAGATGTTTATGACAAAATGCCATTAAATCTTCAAGATCAAGAGAAATTTGTTAAGGATGCTGTAAAAAGATCTCCAAAAGAATATCCTTCTGATGTTCCTATATAAGCTTATAGTGTGTTATGATAAGGGGCAGAGCTACAGCTTCGCAATCAATTCATTCGTGTTGCGTAATATGTATAATTAATTAATTAGTAAACTCTGAATCAAAAACTCGTAAACTCAAAATCTCAACTCGGTTTCTGAATAGCTAGCTAGAAAGCAACTCTGAAATTGTCAGGTTCTATGAAGTTATATATATAAATAGCTACATTATAAACAAAAGTTCTGAAACAAATTCTTGAGTATATGTTAATGGCATTAACTTTCTCTCTGTTTAATCTCATGATTTTACGTGAAGTATGTTATAGTTATTCAATTCATATATGTTATTTAAGAAAAATGTCTTTCGAAATTTGACTTTAGGCCTTCAAACTTATGAGACAGATAGTGCTAATGTTTTAATATGAATTTATTTTGGAAAATAAAAAAAGTTTCATATTATCTCATGAAAAAACACGTCTGGTACTATTAGATTCACATATCAAACATGGTATTTAAAAGCGAAAATCATTTATTTATATATCTGTATATACTTTTTAAAAAGATATAATAAACAAAATATTGGTCATCCAGGTCTAATTCTAATAATGAAATTTATATGACAAATATTTGATGAATATTTTATGATAATGTTTTTACTGCATATTATTTTTATTTGTTTGACAAGATTTATTTAAAAGAAACTTTTGTAAATTAATTAGTGCATAATGCGAAGCGCAAATATATTTTACGGAAAAGGACCCTCAAAGTATTGAAAATGATACAAAATTACTCTTCATCCACCTATTGGTTCCAAAATGTCATTCCCACCCACCTATTGGGTGCAAAATACCCTTGTCATCCACCTTTTGGTTCAAAATTGACCACTTATTTAACGATTTTATATTTAAACTATTTAAATATTTTTTTAAATACGTGGCGCTCAACTATTTGTTATAATTTAACTTATTAATGCAAGCTGCTGCCAATTGAGTGTTTTAAAAAAATATAGAAGTAAATTATCATACATTCAAGTGGCTACATAAAAATCACCGATAAACTCAAAAGTCTGACTATGTTCATCTTAATTATTCTTACGTCTCAATGATGTTATGTTACTTCATAGGTAACTTTTTTTCAAAATAATATATTAAAGGTTTTAAAATAAATCATAAATATTTATAAAATTATATTTAAAAAAGTACATGAATTAATTCGGGATGTATTATTTCTTTACCTTTAATCATAAATTTCTAATTCAATTTTGAAAGAAAGTGTCCTCCTAAATAAGCGGCTCAACCTAAATTTAATTGGGGCTTCGATTCAGACTTGAATAATTTTGAATGTCATTTTCAGTAATCCATAATTTCATCGTGTTTTAGTAGTGTTTATGACGATTTTGATATTATAATTGAATTATTAATTGAGTGAGGTTTAATTAGTAATGAGTGGGTAGTGGATTGATTTATAAATTATATTAATAAATTAAAATTATAATTAATAGTTGAACGCCCAGCATTTAAAAAAATATTTAAAGAGTTTAATTTTAAAACAATTAAAAAATGGTCAATTTTGAACCCAAAGGTCGATGACAAGCGTATTTTGGAGCCAATATGTGGATAAAAATGACATTTTGGAGCAAATAGGCGGATGGAGGGTAATTTTGTACTATTTTCAATACTTCAAGAATATTTTAGGCCCTTGTCCTTATATTTTATAGTATCAAAAAATGAGGGAAAAAAGAAATATCATTTCTAATTATCAATGTGTTATATCACTTTATCTATCAACTTTGTATTATATATATATACGTTAGAAATATAAGCTTATACCTAATATATATATATATATATATATATATATATATATATTATTATTATGT